ATAATAATGATGATGATGATGATGAGGATGATGATGATGATGATGATGATGATGATGATGATGATGGTGATGATGATGATGATGATGATGATGATGATGGCCAAATTTTACTCATGTACATAGTTTTCATTGACATGAAAAACATAGTGATACAACTTATCATTCGAGTTTTCTGACTACAGGGCATTCTATATTAGAGGGTCCGACGTGGTGGAATCAGGCGCTCGTCAATTTTTGGACATAATAGGGAGTTATAGGGATAATCTTATCGCCTATTCATGTGCCGTGCTTTTGGTGAAAAAGTATACCCAGCTATCTTGAATACTGCCGTGATCTGATAAAACACATTTTTCTCAAAATCAAGGTTTCGAGATAATTGCAATTTAATGTTTTTTGTTAATTAAACAAACAAACAGCATTTGTGTTGTTTTTGTATGACTATCTCATGAAGATTAATGTATATCTAATTTACCATGGCTAAACCAAATTTCAATGAATTTGAGCTAAAGACAAACGAACGAATAAGTCACCTGTGATCTGATAAAACATGTTTTTTCCCCCGAGATTACCCCCCCCCCCCAAAAAGCGTTCCATCTGATCACTATTGAATAGTAGTCGAGATATTTGGGGGTTGAATGTGATGGGGGTCGTCTGAAGTCAGAGGTAAAATTAGCGAGAAATCGGCTACCAAAGTTTGACGACTTCCAAAGCTGTTGTGTCCTTTGGAGACTGCGAATTTACTTTATTTCTGGACCCTTTGATCGACGTATTATGTAAAAGGTCTTCAGCCATAAAAAAAATTAAAACATCGGTAAAAAGCGCTGGACTGGCGGTAAAATGTCTGTTTCTTCGTTTTCATTATTTTGGCGAGAGCCTGATTTCACCACGACGCCTAGAAAATCAATCTCCATCTTGATTTTTCGGGCAGCAGAGACTCAGAAACTCCTGGACACCACCCTAAAAAAACCCCAAAACCCCAGCAACAACAAAAAGCGAACCACTCCTAAAAAGAAAACGACACAAAAAACCCCAACAACACCCCCATCCAAAAAAAACAAAACAACAACAACCCAACAACAACAAAACAACAACAAACCAACAAACAAACCAACAACAATCCAACACACAAACACACACACACACACACACACACACACACACACACACACACACACACACACACACACACACACACACACACACCTGCTCTGCGTTTGTTTCACAGCTGTTATGGCTGAGCCCGGGATAAGCTTTCTAATATGATTCCTTACGAAATGAAAACTACTATTGGTAACGGTGTCAGATCAGAATAAAAGAGTAGGCCCACCCACTAAGGTTTTATGTTGTTGATTTTGCTGTGTTTCGCATTTGTGTTGTTTTTATTCGAAATTAAAAAGGTGACATATGGCTCCATACTTAGAAAATAATAAAAGCTTTCATGTTGTTGTTATTGATGCTGTTGTTGTTGTTGTTGTTGTTGTTGTTGTTGTCTTTCCTGTTGTTGTGTTTGTTGTCGGGATTGTTTTTGTTTCTATTATGTTTTTCTCATTTTGTAGCTGTTGTTGTTGTTGTTGTTGTTGTTGTTGTTGTTGTTGTTGTTTTTGTTTTTGCTATTGCTGTTGACGTCAATTTGGTAGCATCAGTGTCTATGGTGTAGTTATCGCACGCTTGAGACCCGAGTTCGATTCCCGAGTAGAGGGAATTTTTATCGAGTATCTCGATCTTTCTACGAGAATGTTGTATCCCTCTCACTCTCAAGCCGGGTTGGCCCTCACAGGCAGACGACCCCCTAAAAGAACTAAATTGCATAGATCTACATTAAAAAAATAGTAGCCTTGATATTTTACCTTCGTGCCCACTAGCATGTAGAAGTAAAAGATTTTAATAGCTCTTTGTCTTGTGTATTCTAGGATCAAGCCAAGCAAAGACTTTTACCAACAACCATGAACTGCCAATAAAAACCATTCTATTATTAATGTTCTCGAGCGTAATCCTTTTACGAAGACAACCAAACAATACTCTGAACACAATAATTATTTCTAGGGGTTTTTGCGTTGTCAGTAGACGTGGAAGAAGATACACGCTGCGTATGTGACTCGACCCTGCCAGAGCAGTGCTGCTTGTCACGGCAGAAGATATTCGGAGACGTCTCCGGTGAACACCCAGGAACTATTCGGAGACGCACTCCCGCACACAAATGCACTGTTTTGGAGGGTCAAACTGCGTACATGTATTATTTGCTGCAGATTACACATATAGCCCCTAAAACATTCGCAAATCAATTATTTTCAGGAAAATTTCAAATTTAACTGCAAAATATCAAATTATTGTTTAAACCCCCTTGTAACCCCCCAGATTTTTTTACTTGGTCAAGAGGCACAAAGCATTTTGATTGGTCTATTTCCGTCGGGGCCGTCTCCGAATAGATACTGCGCTTGTCACAGTAGTAGTCAGTACGCTGCACTTCAGCCCGGGAGCAAAGCATGCAGTGTGGTGGCAGAGGAAGCAGCAGACACCATAGGGCTCACTAAGATGGTGGCATACTCGTTGATAGCCTGTGGAGGGGACAGGTGGCGGGTGGGAGCAGAGGGGATAGGGTTGGGGTTGGTTTTTTTTTTGGGGGGGGGGTGA